GTTCTTTATCAACACTCATATTTGCATTATGGGCTAATGGAGGCAAGGAAAGCAATTAAGAATTTTGCGGTTAATATGTGGCGTGACAAAAAGATTGATTCTATAGACGTTGATTCTGAACATATTCCTTCAAAAGATCACGTTCCTCATCCCTGCTTCCCTAAAAATTACACCGAAACATGGTCATTACCCAATTTATCTGATGAGGATACTACCACGCTTATTGGAACTGGTGCTGGACATGCTCAGTGTCGATTCATCATAGAACAGATGCTTAATAAAACGGAAACATGCCCTTTATCACCTTGCTCGTTTAATGGTGTATATCAGCCACCTATCAGCGTAACGTTTTCGAACAATGAAATATACATATTTTCATATTTCTATGATCGAGTTAGTCCGTTAGGTATGCCGTCCGAATTCTCTATTAAAGAGCTCCGGGATCTGACCGATGATGTGTGCGCTGGAAATATTAATCAATTCGAGCATTTACCGGAGGCGATGAAAGAACTTCGAAAGAATCCTCATTATTGTATGGATTTATCATTTATATATGGATTATTGCATATTGGGTACGAAATTCCACTAGAAAGAGAGGTTAAAATGGCTAAAAAGATAAAGGGAATTGAAACTGGATGGTGTCTTGGTGCAGCAATTTCAATTTTGGATCAAAAGCAATGGTGTAAACCATGAACAATGATTTATAAACATTATGTAAATTATAATTTGTAACTAATCTTTTAATGATTAATCTATTAATGCAACAATTGACAAAACCATATTGATGACTAGATGTATTAGACTGAATAAAAATAATGAAATCAATTTTTTTTGTGTGGATTTACATGATCACTTACTCTATGTAGTCGATAGGATGACATTTTTTTTTTTATTATGAATATTAATTTCAAGGCATTAAGATACCTCAATAACAATAAGTTAACCCAGCTCCAGCTCAATTACTATTTTAGCTCGTCTTCTTTTTTACTCTTTTGGTATTTTCCTTATTGAAAAACCAAACAACTGAAAATAATAAGAAACCAATCATCATTGATGCAGCTCCTGTATAATAAGGATATGCAGCAGATATATATCTCGGATATTCATTATGTCTGAAGGGTCTAATTGCTACAACAGTTGAATCCTCGATATATGAATACCCAGATCGTTTGTAATTAACCTTAAACGTGAATACACCATAAACATCCGGTAATTGAATGTGCGCTTCATATTTTTGTGATTGTTGTTCTGGTGACGTGGGAAATGGCGTAAGAGTTTTTCTAATGTAGGGATCCAACATTATGGCTTCAAATTGTACATCGGTACCATTAAAAGGTTGCCAATGATCATTTACATATTCAGAAATTTCAATGGTATAGATCTAAACAAACCAGAAGAATGGTCGGTTATTTGTACGAAGTAAACAACACAACAAATTTACTCTTACAATGTAATCCTTAATACGATAAACTTCTAACTCTTCGTCTTCGCCTTTCTTATGATGATGACTAGAAGTGACTTTGAGGACTCCTTTTTCTTGAAAAGTCCACTTTGTCAAATCTTTGGCGAAGTCCTCATTACCAGATTTAGGAAATCTGTAAATTTATTTATAATTAGCATTAAACAGGACTACATAATTTGAGTAGAATTAAAACAATGCTTACGATTCTGCAGGATTGGTCCTCTGGATGGGTGAATCGAAAAATCTAGACATTTAAATCACTTAGTCGAATTTAATACAGCATGCGTTTACTTACATCACAAAATCAATGTATTAACCAAAAATTTCACCTATCACTGAACAACTCTATGCTCCCAACAAACGTAACTCTTGCATTGTTTCTTGCCTGCAAAGCTGATACAAGCATAATTTTATTTCCTACGACTAATGGTTCTTGATCAACCTGCTGACCCGCTTTAGTCTCATATGAATAAGCGGTTTCGTCGGCCCATAATATTTTAGTTAACAACGGTACTGTCCCAACTTTGTGTGCTATGCCCCTAAAAAGTATTGGTGGCCCCTTAATCACATTTTTTGTTACAATAGCTTCATTGTTCGTTATGCCATTCGCAACTATAAGTGTATGCTTTCCATCGTCAGACATGTCATAATTGAAATGATCTATTACAGATGTGTCTATATCATCAAAATCAATATCAAATTCTCGAGCAAAATCGCGGATAGTTTCTGAAAGTTCTGAAGAAGCTCCTAGAAGTATATTGCCTCCTTTATTTACGAAGTTGAGAAGAGAAAGGGGGTTTACCTTATCCTTATAGGCTTTTTTTTTTTTAAATAAAATTCATATTAGAATATAATTTCAAAATTAAATGCATTTATGTACTTCAAATTCAAACAATCACTTTTTGTCTTTGGTGCAAAATTGATGACGTGGTCATATGCTCGTTCTCCGAAGGAAAATAGGTCCACAGTAGAATCCACAGGCGTCTTATATGTTAGTTTATATTCTCGCTCTAGAGTTAACGTTTTAATAATTTGTTATTAAGGAATTTAACCAATAAAAATATTGAATTTAATTTAAATAAAAAATTTCGAGGGACATTACCAACCTTCTAAAGAGTTGAAAAATTTATTGTATAGTGTCTTGTCATCCTCCTTATCTAGTAAAACCAGTACGCGACTACCCGTCGTTGATTTTGGTTCTACGCGAAAAACGCTCACCAGAAGCACGAAGGTAAAAATGAATAATAAACATCGCATTATGACCACGAACGAATGAAAGAAAAGGCTTTATCGCGTAGTGTTAATTACATAATTATATAAAAAATATGAACAAACGTGGACCTTAACCATTGGTTCTGAAAAGCGAATCGTTTTGACTATATGCATTCATTACTATTGGATGATTGTAGATTATTCCATATCAAATATGTACTGTTACACAAATTTGACTATTAAATTCGGACTGCGTGATTATAGAGGTTTGCCTATTTTCCGAAAATTTTTAAAAAAAAAGATTCCGGTCAAGGTTCAAATATTATTATGGCCAATCGTTCATGATTTTTACCATGATGTGCTTATAAAGGGGTATTTTTTTATAAGTTTATTAGTAAAGTGGCAGACTTTGGCATGATTATAAAAGGGGTTCAGATTAGGAGACGGCATTATTATACGTATGCAGTCGTCCTTCCATATAGCACCTCCCATATGATCACATCATTTATAATCACATTTACTAACCAATCAAAATTGCACATTTTTTGTGCGGCACCTAGTTTAATTGACAATCTATATACTGTGGCATAGATTCCAAGCTGGGCAGATATAAACTTACTTTATTGTATCGCCCAATTTCTAATTATATAACTTTACAACTTTAAAATTTTGTATACTTAGATTTAAGGGTTAGGTGCAGGTTTTGAAATTTAATATGTAGGTTTAGGGCCTCAAATTAATCCCCACAAAATGAGAATTTTAAAATCACACTGATTGCCTATCATTGGGTGTCTAAACCTGGTTATTGCTCATTACATACGAGTTTGACGTACTAATACGCCCATTCTGCTTAAACGTATTGGTATGGTAAAAGTGATCTGTTAACAACAATTGCTTTAATTATTCGTTATTAAATCAGTAGGCGCTGCCGAATGATCCCTTGAGTAGGTTAGAACACTGAGTGCAATTTAGCATCACATCTCCCGTTCCAATTCTACCTTCAGGTAATCCGAATTGAGCGTGGACTTAAAGTGTCACACACCGAGTTATTAACAAAAAAGGCATCTTTATTGCGAATGACGAAATCTGGTTCAAAATTGCGCCTGAAATTTCACGAGAACGAATTAAATGTATATGTTGTGTTCTGTAATATGTCATCGTGATTTGATTGGTACATCTAACATCGCATTCACATATCACCAAAGTTTCGATAGCTTAATAACGCATAAAATCACAAAATGAAGAGAGAAATGGTTTGTAAAAAACGAGAAAAACAGGTACCGGTGAAAAAAAACAATAATGGATTAATTATTCTAACATCGATGCAAACCAACATTTTTTTTTAATTATAAAAAAATTCGAACACCTATATACAAAAAATTTTTTTTAAAAAAAAAAATCGCGGGTGATTCTTGGTGATTTCATCCCATAATAATTCACCCATATTTTTATAATTAAACATAATTTTTTACGAACGTATCCTATATACAAAAAAGAAATGCAATTGATTATTGGTACAGATTATATGCCAATGACATATCAAAATGAAATCAAATTAGAAAGAGGGAATAATTTTATGTAGTGGGAAAAATAAGTTACAGTTAATTTTTGTTTGACACCGTTTAAAGCAAGCTTTAATAGCTCGTGAGTGCGATCACATTATTTTGGCTACGGGAGGTAGAGGTCGGATCCTTTGAATATCCATCATGGCTGTTCAGTAAATATTGGCGGGTTTTGGATGTTCGTGAATAGCATTGGACGAATATCCGGATTTTGATGGATACCCATGCTATTATTTGTAACTGCGAATATTCACGCGAATATTCACGAATATACACGGATCAATGATATTGATTACGAACCCTCGACTATTCGTGAATTTTGTGTAACCAAATATTGGATATTCAATGAATATCCGTTTCTAACCGTGAATATTCATGGATCCGGCCTCTAACGGGAGGAGAAGAAACGTGCCCAAAATAATCTCTATTATGTACGAATGACGAATCGGAGGAGTTCTGAGCGGTTGGCCTTACATTGCTGCTAATATTAGGGACTACGATACCACCGTAATGGTAATCAGGAGACCGTTGATTTCTTGATGAGGATGGTACCGTAGAGTTAAAACACGACGATTCATTCGACGGGGCCGTAAAGGATAAAGAAGATCCACAAGAACCTTCAAATTTTCCAATCACCAGAGAGGTTCCTCTTCTGTTCGCCGAGGGAAGCGGTGGCGAAGACAATCCACCAACTAAAGTTGGAAAGAGACCCCTTATATGAGGTGGGATGAATATAATCCGATTCTTTCCTGATGACAACACACATTTAATGATTGTTGGAGCGAGCGAGTCAGGGATTTCGTCGTAGAAATTCGGCGCATTATCGAACAATTTGTATACAACGAATTTTGTGTATTCAAGTTACCTTTGTGAACACGAAAATATTCACGAGCTTGTTCTAAAAGCTCGTGAGCCGATGTCGCATTTGGAAAGATTTGGCCTGATATTAAATACCAATTATGGGATCAATTATACTTGAGCAGCAGAACAGGAAAAAAAAGATAAAAAAAAAAAAAAAAAAAAACAATACAATGGCTCCAAACTCTTTCATAACACCTGGGGGGTCTGCAACAAAGGCCCGAAGTAAATATAAATGAGTCATCGCAAACGGACACTTTATCACCAAATTATTTCACACAGAGTTGGTCAGAATGGACATCGCTAGTATCTCAGCAAAAACCACAAATACCTAAGCCACCGACTGATTCGCTAATTTCGCTAAAAC